TTAATGCAAATTAGAATTTAATTTAAGTTATCTGTATGTGTTGAGAACTTTATAATTTTGATAATTTACCATGTTATTAAAATAAATACAACATGCAACATCGCTTGCAATTTATTAATTAAAAAAATGGTTAAAAAATAAATTGATGGCTTACAGCGGCTGAGCTAAAAGATGATTCATTGTAAGATGCAAAGCTTGGCTTTAAAAGCCTCGGTTTAAATCTGATCATAACAATTCATCATCGATGCTGCCTTGCTTTATGGTACTTACTATTCAGCTCATCAGACTCGCTTAAGTAAATAATTCTCTTTATCTTAAATTGAATTTGAACCTGTATCATATTTTAGCCACCATGAATAGTTTTAAACCACGGCTTCAATTACTTATTGTTTACAATTGCATAATTTCGGCCATAGAAACAAATATGTTTTTATTCATTGGCCTTTTGAAACGTCTTGTGAGTCAGAGTAACATTTTATCGTTAGAATTAAATATATGTTTATGTATATTATTTATTTATATGTATGGATTACTTTTAAATTTCCCCTCTATACATAGGAGAGAAAGTATTGTTTTAGTCAACATTTTCGAATTGAGTTTCAATGGATATATCCGTTTTTTGTCCCCCTGAACCCAAAAAAGTGGTTTTTGTAATGATGACTGTCTGTGTGTGTGTGGATATGTGCAGAGCTACAGACCAAACCTGTCGTCTGATTTTGATGAAATTTTGTTCGTCGGTACTAATTTATCATGTATCCAGGCGTAAAAAAAATAAATAATGGTGTTTTTCCCACATGACCCCATGAAATAACGGAAAAATCGGATTTTATAAAAACCATCCGAACGATTTTGATAGAAATTTAGTATAAAATAGTCCTTTAAGTTTTGAACAAAGTGAAGTAAATTAATACAAATTAAATTTCCATAAAAATTACGGTTCCATAGTTATGTAACTTATGTTATTTCCAACAAAAAAAAAACCATGACAAAACAAAATATCGGATTTTAGAAAAAAAACTGCCGGTTTTGATTAAAATGATTGTGCAATGGCCCTTATAATTCTAAACAAAAATAGTGCGACTTCCCATTACTGTAACAGTTACGGTTCACAAGTTATTGCAACGTTTGTGATTTATTCGTATTACCGCTTACCCATGATAAAGGTTGTTTACAAGCTTATGGGAGAAAGTATGTGTAAGTTTGCTGATACCGTTTTTTTTAGTATGCCATAGGTCTACAACAGTAATTGGGTTCTTGTCCTAAAGGAAATACAGCGTTGCTCAAAATGCATGTTGGCAAACTTTAAGTCCTCCAACTGCTGCCAAGGATATAGAAGACAAAAAATAAACTGTATTTTAAAAATTTAGAATGGATATGACAAACTTAATTTAACGATACAGTGGGATATTGTATGAAAAACAACATCTTTATTTTCTGTTGTTGCTATGTTAGAGTATTTATTGTTGTTTGTTAATCTTATTTTTTTGTTGTTGTTACGCTTTGGATATTTATAACCTGTTATATCTTTGTTAACTTATATTTATCATCAAATTTTGCTTACCTATTTTGTTGTATTCAACCATCATGTTTATCTTTGTAAATTGGCTGCTGCCGTTGGAAATAAAATAAAATAAAATAAACAGATTTGGGGAAACATATTTTGACATTTTATAGAGGTTTGCTCGAATTCACAAAGGTTGGGGTTTATATAGTTTTGACATCTACCTTTTTTATCACGTAAAACGATATTATTTATTCAAAATACTAAGCTTAAGTAGATTTCTTACCTTACCCTACTTATGTGGCAACTCAAACCTCGTAGGTTTTTGGCCTCACCAACTACAAGTCGCCACCTCTCTCTGTCTTCCATCTATTCTATATCTGCTCTTAGCTATCTCTATTTTTTCAATGTTGTATTCTAGTATTGTCATGCTTTCTCCAGGATCAATCGAAAGACCTCATCTAAAAATAGTATATCTATTGGCTGACCAAAAATAAAATCTTATACCATATTAATTTGTGATGTGTTTTGTATAGACATTTTTATCACCAAAGCCAGGCAATGTTGGCAAGGTGAGTCCCACATGGATCGAACACTTTGGGGGATTCCCTGCTTACTACCGAGAAGCCCTGTTTATGCCATATCTTGCATTCGTCACCACATTTTTATTTTTATTTTGTTAGAGTTGTGCGAAAGGGATATTATTTTGTTCAAACCCATCACAGGTCAATTAAATATTTAAATTAGTATGGTGTAAACAACCATCTTTCTTCAGGCCGTTGTCAGTAGATGTAGGATACATAATATCTCTGACAGAATTATCCTTGCCATTTTCTGTAGTCCATGATTGCAAATCCGTAAATATTTTACGAATATAAGGTTGTTGCGATGGAATGCTACTTCTTAATATATGCATTTCTCTTAGAGGTTTGAATTTTTGTATAATATATTTGGGTATCAGGGATGTTGTATCTAGTTGATTGTAAAATAAAACTATTTCTAAAAAAACAATATATTTGCAAATTCCTATTGGATAATTTATGACGTTTACTTGTTCATTAGGTGCTAATAAACAAGTTTCATAAAATGTATGGTTTTAAAAAGTGTTTTCACACGCATGACTTTGGAAATCAATTTTGTTATTTTTTTATTTATTTACTGCATCCTTTCTAATTGTGTTTAGCTGACTAACATTTTATTCATGTGTGTTTAAGGATTCATAACAAAAATACAACACTAGTAAATAGAACAAGATCTTTATTTAACAATAACTTATAATAACTTTGATACAGAAACTATATAATTTTAGTTATAGTGATAAGATTATTCCTTTACATTTTCCACCTGAAACACCTTGTGAGCCGTAGTAACAGTTTTATCAGAAGAAATGCGTTAAATGCTAAATATCAATGTCAAGCTCCAGTCGCCAACAAACACAAGCTCAGAGCAAGTATAAAATATACCCGACCGGATTCTATAGACTATGATTGTACGTAACCTTAGAGAATACTAAGTTTTTACAACTTCATAACTTGTGTTTCAAAGTAAACGTACATTTTACTATGACATAATTATGTTACGACATAAGTAACTCTTTACTATATGATGTAATCAATGTCTATCTTACAACCAACAAAGGAAATAAGATGGTTAGAAACACTTTAGTCACAAAACAATCTTGTATCAAGTTAAATTAAAATAAACTAGTAAATGGTATGCCTATACATATGTGAAGTAGGTATATGTATACCTATATGTATATGTATACCTTATATGTATATGTATACCTTATATGTATAATACTTAGTTGAAAGTTATTAGCGGTAGGCTACTGTGAATACTTGTTAAATCCAAAACAAATGTCTAAAGATAGAAGAATGTTTAAGTAAAGTGTCATCATTACAAACGAGAGTAGTAATTTAGTTTTTATGATTTTGGTACTAATTATAACAAATAAACACATTGAAAATGAAATATGTCATTCATTTATTTTCCAGAAATCGGTTGAAATAAGCTAATGAATAAATAGGCTATTAACATATTTCATCTGTTTTAAATCTCCCATGGATAAATTAGATGCTGACAAGTAGAAATGGCCAAAAAACAAAGCAATATTTAACCATTTTAAATGTATTGTAATAAAACTGACTACGTTTTTACATTAGTAGTAAATGAATTAATTTAGTGACGGTTTATAATAATTATTGTGCGTATGTACAAGTTTTTTTAGAGTTTTACTAATAATACGATTTGATAAACACTTATATATTAATGTAAGGATCAATAATTTAGTACCAAAAGAAATCCTGATTTCATGCATTGTCCCCTTTAAAACCGTTTTATTATTTATTATTAATAATATTATTAATATAAATACATCTGTTTTGAAATTTCTGTGTACCAATAAATTTAAATATTTGACAATTGATTCATAGCTTTTAAGTATCTTTTCCATCAGCATCACACTACATAATTGACTGTCATATTGCTTACAATAATCTAACATTATAATTGTTTTCGAATATTTTTATGTTAATAATGCAGAATTTTCATTACTCTGTAGATGAACAAAAATCTGTACAAATTTTTACTTTTGAATATTGTAAAATTTTCAAAATTACAAATATGTTATTAAATACTTCCGAAAGTTACAAAAAAGTTTTATTTTTTCTCTTTCATGCACAATGTAGATATGTTTCTTAATAAAATCAATCTTGAACGATATTTCCAACACTCAAATAAATTTAATTTTTTGTCATGTCGAAGTATCGTTTTTAATATTTTTTACCAAGCAAATACTAACTTATTATTAAATACGTTTAACTTGAACACTAATTTCATTGTTATTCCCTCTTTTAAACAATGACTAACTAGAAATAAGTTTTGCAGATTACAGTTATGTGGATCAAATTGTACCAAAACTTTCTAACAATGTATACAAATAATCGTCACAATCACAAAATAATTTTATATAGTTATCAACTAGAAGGATTGGATTTAGTTTTCTAGAAACGAAATAAAAAGATATTTATAACAAACACGAAGTCTTATATTACGTAGTTGTATGAGTAAACTATTATTATAGAGATGAATTTCTTAAATATTTTATCGAGGATTATAAGATAATAGATTCGAAGGCAAATTTCGAGGTACAATAGGTTTAACACTACATGTGTTTCAGCTTAATTTATGAGCAATCATCTATAGTTTAACTACAATACCTGTTTAAGATATTTAGCCTTACTAGAGTCTCGTTGAGACAACAATATAAAACGAGATGAACATGTGGAATGAATTTAGAATTAGCCTACCCAACAGGCCAAAATAGTTAGGTAATATAACTGTATCAACTCAACTGTTACTTCAAGATGTGTTGGAGAAACGAAGCGTCTACTTTATACGAAATGCGCCAATTCAAAATATAAATAATTATCCTTCTATATAATATAGTTATGACATGTCTTTCAATACTCTTTAGAAATATTTTTTGTGAACAATATGAACAATACTAACATCGGTTAAGGAACTTTAGATAGAACAGATGATAGAAAGCATAACCGTCAACTATTACAAAACGCTCAACAAATTCGATAAGCTACGAGCAGCACTTTCACTAAAGCTATTTACAAAACAAACATCGCAAGCTACCCGGTCAACTAGCAAATTATAAAAGCGTGTACGTTACTAACGTGGTAGGGGCTCGACATGACACTTTACTATGTCATGATACGATATAGTTTCCAAATGTCAACAACAACAAATTCGATTGTTCTCAGTTTAATTCAGTAACAACGGTTCAAACTTGGCAAATTTCACCACGGTTTCAGTAGCCACCCAGGCTAAAATACCTTGATACAAAACCGGCGTAAACTACGGTTTATAAAAAATGTAAATCGCTAAACCATAGAAGCTCCTGTGTGAACGGAAGAGGCTAGGGCGACAGGAGCGTAGCTCTGATAGAGCAAGGCCAGAGGCCGAAAGACATGACAGGCCAATATGGCCTCGAATTCACTGCGACTTGGCCTCTCCGCTAGCCTCACCATCACCTTCCTCCTTACGCACTTTGTGGCCCCGGAACGAAGCTTGTATCTTAGTGGCAGCCTTGTTCAGTTCAGGATCTGTCAGGTCGATGTTCTGAATTTCCTCTTCTTCCATCTAAAAAAGAGTTTTGAAGTGGCGGTATAATGAACGCTTTGTGTTTTTATACTTTATATGACATTCATTTGTTAAAGCAACTTAATTTTCTATAATATCTTACCAAATAGTTGTGTTTGTTCAAAAACTAAGTATTTTAAGTAGCCACATTTTTATCCGTACGGTTAATTTGTATACTAAAATACATTACTTATATTTTTAAAATAAATTTTCTTGAATACATTTTTAGTAAAAAGAATTGGGAAAAATACTAGACAATTCATTCCAGTAAATTTACATTATTATAAAGTTAGTATAATAATAGTAAATGACTGTAATGATTATGTAGATGACTGTAACGACCTGTTTGGTTAGGCTGAAACTGGGCCGAGCTGTCTAACTACTCGGTTTTGAATTAATTACAATGGCAAACAAATGGGTTTGATTTTTGTCAGTAAAGGCAGGCTAAAACAGGAATTAAAAATTGTACTCAGATTTAGTAAAATTATCCATCAAAAACTATATTTACCGTGTATCAGAATGTTCTAAAACACTCATAAACATTCTAACCAGTAGAATTGTAAATTGAATCTTATTTACAGAACAATAAAATAAAACAATTGAGGCTGGTTTCTGTGTTGATTTTTTTTTCCATTAGGCCTTTTCTGAATCTTCAATAACGTATGGGAATTATTTTGTAGATTTTGTTGCCGTATCCGCATGAGATCTAAAATCCCCAAAATTATGACAAACCTTATAATAAAATAGTAGTTTCGTACCTTAGCCTTCTCCATTTCTTTGGTCAGCTTGTCCGTCTCCTCTGCCTGTTTTCTCACTTTGTGTCCACGAAAGGATGCTTGAATCTTCGTCGCGGCGTGACATAATTCTGAAAACAAAAGCCTTGTAAAACAACAGTAAATTTAAATATGACACAGAAGTCGGCAAGGGAATTTTATAAGTAAATAATTATATCATACTACAACTTAATGAACACGGCCGTTTAAACAAAAACAATTCAATAGTGCGATGCGTTGTGTAAAAGTAACCATACAAATGTTATTCAAAATGTGATCTAAAATGACAAAGATTGTAGTTCCCTGGTTTGCATACGGCTCACTTAGTTTTGAGTACTGTATTGAATATCAGTGTAAAGCAATTTTTCTTCTTTTTATTAGTTTAGAAAGGATTTGATTTGGAAAGAATATATGAGAGACTTGGTTTTCTCTGTTTATTTCCTTTTTTTGTTTCCTCACTACCGATCATGGTGGATTCAAGCAGCACAAAGTTGATAGCAAGTAGTGTAATTTTAAACAGTCTCATACTACTGTATACCTATGTATGGGCTCACTTTACAAAGATAAATGAAAAAGAAATGAATTTAAGACAGAAAAAGTGGCGTTAAAATGGAGTAATCAATACTTTAAGAAGTACACGAATTATTACCCGTAAATATAACCAAACTACACAAACTAAATTCGACGGAAAATATATTAAAGCAATAATATAATATAAATAGTTTTATAGTAATATGTTTTTGTGTAAATGTTGATTTTTCATAATTAACGAAAACTTCTTTACAGTATTATAAAGTTATTTATATAACCTTAAAAACCAAGATATACCAGCCAATTATCCAAATATCATCCAAATAGGCCTAACAACACGTATTATAGTTAATTAGATAATTTAGGTACTAAGACAAGTTTTGTTTAAGGTAATCTCATTTGCCATTAGTCATTACAACCTAACTACATTTCCGTAGAAAGTAAACACCGTTGTATATGCAGATCTGTTTATCATGCTTGTGCGGTGACTGTAAAAGCTACATAATCTCCTTGCCGCAAACGCTCGTATAGCGATCCCACATGCAACGTTCAGAATAACTTGAGAAAATGTAGTTTTATCTTAAACAAAATAAAGTTATCGATGGCTTACAGAATGATAGTATTTACGGAGTTAAACTTAAAATATTTGTTTTTCAAGCCATACAAATGCTATGAACATTTATCCAACATTTTTAAGGTCAATTAGGTACTTCAAGTATGCAATATGCGTTTGTAAAATGTCATTCTTTTCATGATTATAATATGGGCATTCTGGGAGATTTTTTATTATAAATATTACATTATTTTCAATAACCTAGCCGTTTTTAAGGTACCTGAAACTGAAGTCTTTTAAGGCGTCGCTCATGAATACATATTCCAATACAATATTGGACTGACATTGGATGTGTTTGAAAAGTAATGTTTTTAGAAATATGTGGAATTCCAATTTTTAATCTGTAATTCAATTAATATACACTTTCGGTACAAACGTTTTTTGTTGTTGTTTTTTATCCTGGCCATGAGTAACAATAAAAAAATAACTGGATAAGCAACAACCAATAAAAAAGTTAAAGGCCGTTGCTGTAGATTCGGTTTTAATATTGCACATAAAATGGCAAAACAGAAGTGTAAATGTAACTTTGTACAATGAACACTACCTCAGAATTGGTGGGAAACGGATCTGTAGTATAAATCATCGTATAACCGATTACATGACATAATGTATTACAGTACGCCATAAAACTATTTCATACGTAGTATATGTTAACATGACAATCATTTTGAGTAAATTAGAAGTAAATTAAAAACCCTATGATTTTAAGGACTGGAAATACAATATAGAAACAATACTTTTCTGTTAACTCCCTAATTTAACAACTTTATTAGAGGTCTACTGTCAATTACGTAGTAAAAATTAACAATCTCTTTACAACCAAAATATATGTTAATTATTCGTTCTGAATTCAAAGCCTTTTGATTGAATCACCTTCCCTTACATTTTAGGTTTAAATAATAATTGTTTTAGTTATCTAAAAATTTTTTAGGTTGAAATAGAAAATAAAAACTAAATTATACTAGACTAGTTTATTTTGTAATCATTCAGACAAATTGGAGATGCCACAATGATTACCTTTGGCTCAACAAATCTAGCAAATGTAGCGATTTCGTTTAGAACAAAATTGCTTGTGATATAAGTAGGGCATTGCATGTCTAAACGACATTTCTTTTATCATGAAGCTTAAAGCAAAAGAAAAAGCTTAAGCTTGACTTTATACATGATTTACCAGGCAGCTCTTACATTCCGATGAGAGTATTTCGATATTGAATTAAGAAATGTGAAATTTTGTTGTATAGTTGAGAGTATTTGATATAATAATTTATGTATTTAGGAATTGTAAACGCCACGAGGAGTTTTATGCTTGAGGGAGACTATTAGAATAGACATTACTTTACAGAAATTTATAGAATATATTGTTACAATTTAATAGAATTTATTTTGAAATTAATAACCAATGAAACAGTTTCGTAGTATTATAAAACTAATGATCCGGCCGAATTGTAAATATTCTGATACACAATTATATATTTTACACCTTTCGCCTAATGGTGGTTGATTTAAATGATCTCCACTAACTTGGCAACCATCATGATCTCAGGACTGTCTGAACCTTAAAATGTCAAAGCAGATAAGGTGAACTTGCGACTAAATGGGGCACTTGGCGGAACTAAAGCTGCAAAGGTCAGCACCATTACGGTAATGAAGCTTTCCGGCTGACGAGAGGGGGGTACATAGTGTGGGGGGGGGGGTGAAAGAGCCTTGAGGGCCTGTAAGGCACACCGCCATCTTCGGCTGTCTTATGGAAGGCTGCATATTAAGTGGGACATATTTTCGCAGTTGATGATAAAGACAATAGAGGTAGATAATTTCACTTCAACATATTTCATGATTGATCAATTATATTGCAGTTGTGGGATAGGGTTATAAAATAAACGTCAATGAGTTAAACCACCATCATCGGTTGTGACGTGGATTAGAGTCATTGGTGTAGCCTGGTTATTGTGGTTGAGTTGTTGGGTGATATACGGTAGAGGGATTTTTGAGCGAACCACCATTATTTGCTACTATATGGATTATACAGATATTTGCATAGGTCCTCGTGTAATGTTAATGTTCTGAAGGAGTGTGGTAAAAGGTAGAAGGATATTGCTTTCACACAGTTTGGGTTTGCAGGCGATTGGGGAGGATAAAGGGATTGCTACATATATAAATTAAGTAGTATAAATTTGTTTGTCCTAGGACGCAAGGCACGAGCCCGGAATTGTTTTTCACATTACTTCAGGCTAGATCTAGGTGTTACGGCAATATCACTTCGATAAAATCCATTGGTGATTTGGTGGGGTTTGAACCCGGGACCCCAGGAACCGGAGTCCCGCGCTCTAACCACTAGACCAGCTCGCTCCCCCAAAGTAAGTAGTACTAAAGTAACCAAGTAACAAAGTAATTAGTACCAAGTAGTAGTACCAAGGAAGTAGTACCAAGTAAGTGGTATTAATAGTTATTAATGAAAGATACGAGACGTGTTGGTTGGGTAACACATAATGTGTTGGTTCTGTAGGAGATTTATATAGAAACGCAGTTTAAATTTGTTAGGAAGGGTGAAAAAGGAGGGCATCTATGTGCTACCCCAAGGATACATGTGTGGCTAACACATAATACTGTGATTGTAGAGGAGGGTAACAGAAGTATCTTGCTTTTGAACAATGTAGGGTTGAAGAAATTGTGATGGAGAGAGTATGAGTGAATTAAGTTAAACTCAATATCTTTAAGAACGATAGTTTAGACATGAGCGTACTAAGTGGACCACAACACATACTGCTGCAGTTGTGGAAGAGGATAATATAGTTGAAGTGATCTCTCTTTCACACAATTTGAGACTGTTGGGAACGTTGGGTATCCATGTATTAAGCCATACAAGGATTGTAGAGTCATGTGTGTAGGGCAGCACATAATGCTGTGGTTGTGGGAGAGAATGATGGCAGAGGGGCCTTTGAGGTAACGCGTCCTCCCTTCCATTATCAATATATCAATACATGTTCTGATACTCATGTTCCACAGACCATTATAATATAGGAACATTCTGGACAATCTTCCCCGATATATATGTGTTGTACTATTTAGAATGACTCTTTACAAAATGCCAAGAATAATAGTCGCATTTGAACCATCTTATTAGCACTTGAAGTTAACTAATAAATAGTGTTTACATAATTAAGGATTTGATGTTTTGGAGTAGAACTATATAAACGTCAATATATACGTAACAGCCAATTTACAGTATTTTTACTTTTTGGAAATGTCCCATTGCTATGTCATCTGCATTAAATTGTATAGTTATAGTTTTCCTTCATAACATATTCATCTAAGTTTTACATTACCGTAAAACGTTTAAAAAGTATTGATTAACTTTTCATTGATTTGATTTGATTTGATTCATACGGTTGCTTTTTGTTTCCCCTAAAATTATTGTGTTTTTTTTTTTTATCAAATTAGGTACAAAACCCGCACCAGTATGTGTGTGTGATTTATTGAACTTTTAAATACATTGTGGTATCCAAATGATACTTTGGCAATACGTGTTACCATGAAAGCTATATAATTCAATACTGTGACTTAACACCTGTCATAATATTGTTGTTCACTAATGATGTTTGCCCACACCTGTAGACAATTAGCCAACTAATTAGGCATTGTATTGTATGCGCTTCCATGTTTAATACTAAGTTTAAAGTAATTTTAAAATTAGTATCTTTTCAAAAGTCAGAAATCCTTACGGCTTAAACATAATGAGATTTAACTTTGTGAACAGAAAAGCTAATATGCTTGATAAGCTTCGGAGGTAAACCTAGTAAATGAGTCGTAACATCCATTTGGCCAATTCCATCGTTGTTTTATCATTATTAGAATGTTCTGCAACGTTTCAACTTTACTACCGTGGAAAGATAAAATCTCTTATGTGCCATCAATATTAGATATCCCTTAATTTTATTTAGGCAAAACCTTTTGTGTATAAACTATCATATTGTTTATTAGTTTGAGGGTTAATAACAAACAAGTTTGAGGGTTGGTTGAGGGGGGGGTGTTGAGGGGTTGTTAACTAGATGATTTTTAAGCTCATTTATTTTCCGTAGAGCCATGAACCCAGTGTTAATTACCAACATTGGTGACAATAGAATGAATATTACCGAATTTAATGGCATTTTATTCGTATAATTATTGGAATAAGAACATTCTTTTGGAGGTTCTTCGTTTTTAAAAACCTTTTTCGCAATGATTGAAATAGAAATAATCCAAAAACTGTTTTTGTATGTCACAGATCAACCCATGATGAGCCAGCAGATGATATTGAGTAAACGTTTTGTTGGCAAAGTTGCCAAGAAGTTGTACCTACCGAAAGAATTTGTTCTTGGCAATCTATTTTGAGTTGATATTTATTTTTGATAAGTAGTGAAATCTATTAATTTTGGGGAATTTCAGCAAATGATTCCTTTTAACGTCATTGTACCAACCTTTATCGTCCGGACGGAATTCTGCCTCAAAGTCTTGCACTTCTGTGTCGTCCTGGTCTGTCTTCATCTCGTTTCTCGTCTTGTGTCCTCTAAACACTGCTTGTATCTTAACCGCAGCTTTCTGGGCCTCCGGGTCGTTTGGGTCGATTTCTGAAACAAAAAAGTTCGTAAATTGTACAAATTTATACAAACATCTATGACTAGAACACTCTAGGACTGTATGGACAGAAATCATCCCGATGGTCTGGTCCTGTTCAAGCATCTAGACTAGAGTAAAGTTCATTAATATGTTATAATAAACAAATAGGTACGCTTGAGACGATACTAGAGTAATTTGCACGATTAATATTTAGAAACTAGGACTTTGATGATAGAGAATTTAGTGTTGACCAGTATAACACTGTATATGCAGAATTCTTTTTCAAGATTAGTGAAGATTTTTATAATATCAACTACTAGAACATTTTATAGAGGAAATTGTTGAAAAAAACCCAAAACAATGCATATTGTGTAGAATTAGAGTAATTTATAACCGAGAAGATAGTTGACACTACTTGTATGATAACTGTTACAGAAACGGTTAACAAATAACTTAGTATAATGTTAAATGTACAGACGTGATTCGGTTGAAAAGTTGTGTATAGATATATCATTGATAAACTAGAACAACAAACGAAACTTTTAAAACGGTTCTTCAATTACAATAGCACATACTAGCTGTTGGCAATGACACGAATTTAGGTATACCGGGTGTCCAAAACCACCCGTACACCCCTTTCAAAACGGTGAAAACCTTTTCTTACAAAAAAAAATAATACAGAACTAGCTAAATTGGGCACGGTCTACCAAATGGTGATAATTTAAAATCCAAAATCACACCGGAAGTGGCTTTTTCAGACCGGAAGTTGACTTTTTTAAATGTAAACTACCAATTTTAGTTACAGAATCGGATTCTACGTTGAAAAATACATAACTTTTGTCAAAAACATTTTTTTGAAAAAACTTGTTTTCTACCTTTAATCCCCCATTAAAGTCAATAATTTTTGGTCATTCATGTGTCAAAGTTACTCGAAACAATAATAGAGAAAAACAAATAACAAAGATTACATAAAGACATATGATGAATAGAATCAGCTGTTCATTTTAAAAACCTTAGCAATTGAGTAACAGCTGGTCTACACATTGCTAAGATTAATTTTTTTTTATAATTTATTTTTACATTTGACCCCTTTAATGTAAAAACAAATGATTTATTTTTAAACTAAGCATTAGAGGCATTAGGCATTAGGCATTGGGCATTAGAGGTAGAAAAGAAGTTTTTTCAAAAAATGTTTTAGACAAAAGTTATGTATTTTTCAACGTAGAATCCGATTCTGTAACTAAAATTGGTAGTTTACATTTAAAAAAGTCAACTTCCGGTCTGAAAAAGCCACTTCCGGTGTGGTTTTGGTTTTGAAATTATCACCATTTGGTAGAACGTGCCCAATTTAGCTAGTTCTGTATTATTTTTTGTTTGTAAGAAATGGTTTCCATCGTTTTGAAAGGGGTGTACGGGTGGTTTTGGACACCCGGTATAATACATCTAGGTTTGTTTGGTTTTGTGTTGTCACAGAATCAAACAAACAAAAATGTAGACAAGTCTGAACTTGACGTTTGCAAAATTAAACAACGTGAGAATCAATAAATGAAGTAAAATATCATTTACGAACTACGTTCGTCCAACAATTATACATACTACCAAGGTAGATTTTTGTTTTCCAAGAAGCAAACATTTCGCATACATATTTCAACCTACTAAGGATCAACAATAGTAGAATTCAACAATTCACAGTTTACAATGTTTTATGATCCGATACCAATGTTATTCGATAGTTTATACACACATTGTCGTCTTAGAACTCAAGCCACCATTTTGTAGTTTCACCTGTAAGAACCAAGTGGCGTGCTGTGCTTTCATGGCAAAACTCATTTTTGCCAATCGCCCACCTTCTGTTCGCGTGACAACATAAACACCACGAACCGCTTTACTGCATCAAGCGACGGAAGTTTTCTAAAGGCAAAGCTGTCCAAGATCTAAAGATTTGCTCGGTAAACGATGTTTTCCGATGGATTAAGTTTATCCCCATCTTTGAGATGACAACATGTTATTAGGAACTATTTTTACCTTAACTACCTACATTTCACAAATTCAAAGAAACCGTTTATGTAAATTACGATGAGGTGGGTTCAGTGAAATGCTTTTTAGTAGCTTGATTTAATTAATTTAAACTAATAAATCTCAAGAAATTGATCTATGTTTTTTTTTTATTTCTGCAGTATAGCCATATTATGATCCTTATCCTCCCCATAACATCAAGTTTACCCTTTTATGTACATTACTTACATTATTTTTAACCAGTATTCGTATCAATTAGAGTGTGTAAATGTAAGAATTTTAAGGGTAGGTTTTATACCATGACTTAATTAATAGATTATTCCGAGATCTACTAGTATCTAGCTTTAGAAAATACATAACGTAGCAATGGGAACGTTACAATACAACCACTTAGGTAACAGCATAGATTAAAGGAGTAGACATTAGTACCCAAGAGTAGTCTACTACTTTAATCTATGCTGTTACCTAAGTAGTTGTATTGTAACATTGAGACTGCTATGTTACATGTTTTCTAAAGATAGATACTAGTAGATATCGGTATAACCTTTGAAATAAGTTTAATAGAATTTATGAATATTAAATTAACACTACACCTTGGGTCAACCACTTAGGATACAGGATGCCAAGGGTGTATGCACCGTGGACTGTATGCAAAATGCCAGAATGCTCATTGAACCTAAAATTTAATATTGTTTTGTTAAATTCTAAACAAAGAGAATAGAGAAATTTATGTGGGTGATCTATTGTCTGTGATGCTAGATAGCAGTGATTTAGAAATTACGATCATAGTTTGGGAGATAATAAAATCTATTTTCGGATTCAAATTAGGGGTTTTCTTATTCTAAGAGACCAAACACTACAATAAATCAATTTTACAATCAATTGCCTCACTTCATCTTGACAACGTAGAATGTTAAAACTTTTGATTTAAGTACAATCAAAAGTAAAAAGACCTACTCAAACATAATGCATAGGATTGTAACATTATTTGTTATAGAATCATCGGTACCACAAATGTGTACTGTTATGTAACATATTGTCCTAAACAATATTCGAACTATTAAAGATTTAACTCACACACATCCCCTGTATGTAGACTGCTATGTTGTAATTTTTTAACGATGAGATTATTATTAAGTTGTCTGGTTAATGGGATTCCTTTTAAAAGTATTTATTTAAATTAATGTATCTTAAAATCTTTGTACACCCCGGACTTTTTTTTAGTTTTCTTTTAGATATTGTTCTTGATATTGGCACATAATAAAGAGTTTTCATGTGTGCACATAATAAAGATGTTTCATTCATACTTACTTCAATCTCTCCATGTTTCAATATTTACAATGTTTTATTTATACTGGGATGACATTTTAAAGATTTGATACAGTAGTTAATTAACAGAATTAAAAGAGATATATGCATTTATGTTCTGTGTTACTAGTTTAGACTTGACGTAGATGAAAATACTTGCTTTTTAATCCCAATAATGAGCTTAACGAGTTATTTCAGCTTTTGCAAAATTGATGTAATCGCTTACACAACCATTGCTTGATCCAAGTCATCAAATTGCTAGTTTATGGTTTTTATATTCTAAAGCGTATCATTTTGTATATGTTGTATATCATTTGGGTTAAGATACGCACCTAAATGGCGTCCCCATCTCATAATGATAACGATAATGATAATATCATTGCGTCTGAATGATTTATTTTATTAATCACTCCTGTACACAACATTTTGTGCAGCATACAATCAAAAATTACAATTTTCAATGATATGATTTGTTTGTTATTATTTTACATAACTAAAGCTAAAAAATGCTATTTACTCAAATGTAATCATTAGCTGTATATTTAAATTCCAACTTTTTCATGGGAATTAGGACTACACTAGTCAAAATCATATATCTTAGTGTTTTAATATTTATTAACATGTTCGTCAGTGGGAAATGGTAGTAAAAGTTGAAAATCAAGTGTTTTTATTGTCTAGATGTTCTAGATATTCACTGTCTAGATATTCTTAGACAGTGCTTCAATTCGCTTTATAATTACAGATTAAATAAAAAAATACCTCAATGCTTGTTTGATACATTTAATTTCGTTTTATTTTATATTTTTTTTATTTTTAGTTTTACTCAAACAAACAAATCTGAATTTTTAACATTTCTGAATCAGTTATATCTATGAAAGTAAAGTTTACACACAATCTAACATGTAACCGATTTTCTTACCTGGCTTAATATAGTGAAAGTATGAATTGTGAATAGTGTAAACAAAAAGCAGAAGGAAAATATCTGAGATGAAATGTCAAGAACATTGGAATGTAGAAATAAAGAGGCATGCGAACGGAAGATGCAAAACAAACAGTCGAGTGGAGATGACCTCAGGCTACTAACAATCAATATGATCCGAGTCATGCAACATTCCGAAACAACGAGGATAACATCAGCAAAGCGGATATCCAACGTTTATGTTTCAATTGTAATGTCTTATCTGTGTTTTACATATCGAAATCTACACGAAGCATAAACATTTCATAAAGATATGCGCGTAGATATTCCAGTTAAAATTTATTTGCATTTGAAGAACTTGTCTACTAGGACTTTAAAACATTCCTATTTGTTCTTAGACGCTCCATTGAATATGGATTGTATATTTGTACTAAATCCATTTATACATGTGCAATAACATATAAAATGAATGTAAACTGTATGTTTAGATAGCTTCAGAGCTATAATGTTCGAAATAATGGCATTTTAAAATATTTAGCCAATGAGTTTATGTACTAAGTACTATTAAACTGGCTTATTGTCATTTCATGTTTTGTTATGTTGAACTATATATATATATCTATTTTGAAGCAATTGTGTTCCAGTTAGCTGAATTGGTAGATAGAACGTTTTCAAAGATCTTCTAGCATCAATATCCCTAATCTACATACATAGGAAATGGTTTACTCACAATATTTTCAATAACACTTATCACCAATTTAAACAACGTTTACTGACTCTTTTCATAGTTAACTTTCATATTTCGTAAACATTTTCAAGACGATAAAATCGATAAGACATACAATTGAAACAATGTAAATAATACTCCAGATTGAATTAAGATTTTTACTTTTTTCAACTTGACTAATACATATGTATTGTGTTTTCAAGTAGCAACTGTGCTGGTGGAGTATTATTACTGGTAACAGCTGACAGCGGATTGATAATAGAACGTTTCGCAGAAAGGTATTTACCATCTTCAGGGTCAGGTTCAGCGCCAATGCCACGCCAAATCCAGTTCTTCAGCGTTCGAAAATTCCACTCCATTTTTCTCACCTTAACAAAAATCGTACTGTTACCCTTCAATGTAACATTTACACCTCTGATGTGAATGTGGTATTAAAAATCAAAACATTGCGACGATCACACCGAGCTTGTTTTTTGGTTCCCGCAGGTAAACATGAACTTGCAAAACAACATAAATATGTATATTATTGGTTTATGTTTTTTTCAAGATCATTTATACACATATTTTTCTAATGTATTATCTTTGGCTATTCTAACATGAAATTAAATTAGTAATATAAAATGGAAAATAGATGCGAAATAACATACATTGATTGGTCTTAGTTAATTTTCATATTTTTGGTATTTTATTTAAAAATAGGATATGAATACTCAGTGGAAATATAAAATTCGCAAACACTTGTATTAATGGATATATGTTTTTGAGGGGAAAATATTATTTTTATGGCCAAACGATACTGGTACTAGTTTCTTCCAAACCCATTTTTTTTTTTTTTACAATCTGTTGGGGTTCTTGTATTGCAAGGGCGGATATAAAATCACTCGGGGGGTTTTTTTAAGGTTATAATACTAAAATACTTAATTAGGTTACATTTGAAAACATTTATGATTTTAACAATCCTGCCTGAAAAGTACGTTTATATTCGAAGAGCAGATAATTCTTTAGACGTGCATTTAAAAATGAGATTGTAGGATACAGAACAGTTTCTTAAAAAACAGAATAAACATTTTTTAAACGTTGTTGGTAGTATTCAAACTGGGTTTCAGTTATGTATGAAGTATTTTGCACTTTATGTTACTAATATATCAAATTAATTATGTAATTAAAAACTAATTCAGTCCCTACTCAATAGTTCGATATATTCTACTATTAATATACAGGGTGTCCCGAAATTACTGACCCAAACTTCACCAGGTTATTGTATGGGTCAAAATAAACAAAATTTGTCCTACAATGTATCGTCCTATCTCATTTAGTTTTCTGTCTATATGTCTGTATGTGTTAAAAATAAAAATAAAATTATCTATGTAGTGGGTTGAGATATCAAATTGAAACTTTGCATAGTAGTTGATTTTTTTAGTAATTTGCATTTCCCGTTTGATTTTAAAAAATATTTCACTTCTGGTTTCAAAATGGCGGCCATAACAAATTGTCAATAGAATATTGCATTTTTAAGAATTTAAGCTTTGAAAATTTGTTATGGCAGCAATTTTAAAACCGGAAGGGATTTTTTTATTATAAGGAAAATGTAAATTACTAAAACCAACTACTATGCAAAGATTCAATTTGATATCTCAACCCACTACATAGATAACCTGTTGAAGTTTGGGTCAGTAATTTTGGGACACTCTGTATATTTTACGTGAGTTCATATATTAATGAAAGGATGTGATATGTGTGACATATGAAATGTAGACATAGACATGCTCGCTTTTGAGAGTCCCTACTCAATCTTTAGGAGCTCTAAGACATAAATCTTACTCAGTCTGCTCGTTTATTAAACTGGATAAAAGATAAATTATTGTCCGGGCGCTTAAGATTGCAAATTGCTTCTATTTAAATTATAAGAAAATTTTCTACGGAGAATGAAGGCTTTATAATTAAAAAACATGAAGCACGGAGCATAAAACCTTGGTGATAGGCTGCATCTTTGTTTAAGAAGTTTTCCGTGACAGCTGTACAAATAACGTCTGGTAATGTTATGTGTGATTTTGATGCAAGGAAAAACAATGATACACACTTAATGGTGTTTTCAGTTTGAAAAATATTGGCAGGTTTAGTATAAATTTACGGAAAACATCATAGGAACCTCAACTATTAGTTAATTAGATAAAAAGATAACTAATACAACTGTATTATTATCTAAACAGAATCTGAATGGGTTTTAACGAAAAGTACACACTTGCATTATAAGCTATGATGACATAATTAATAATATAATGATAGCATGGGTAAAATATGATCACTAAGGCTTGAAACTGAGTTATAATAGTAAGTAATGATTCTATTCTATTTATGTAACAGAACCGTTTTTAGAACATTTAACCTTACATAAGCTTTTATTCAAATAACTGCAGTGTCCAGCAGTATTGTTACTGTTAATATAATTAATATACAGTAGATACCTTTATATTACATTTTTTAAGCATTTTTATATTATGAAGAAGTCTGAGATTAACATGACCACAATCAATTTCATTGTAGTATGCAAACACAGTTCAATACATTAAACCCTTATCGATCTCATTGTATATCGCAACAAAATGTGTTTAACTCACTTTATTTCTACTATCCCAGTTAACCTCGAGAGCAGTATTTTCCACTGGCGGTAAATATAGTTTTATGGAGAATCGTCAGGTGATATTGACCATTGCTTCGGATTCGTGGATCTATTTGATGGTATAATTGAACATAAAATGCGCACTAAACCAGCAAAATCCCATCGCTATCGTCTCGAATATCGCAGTTGATTTTATTCAGTGGTTTACTGTTAGTGCTTCGATAAGGCATCGAAGTCGTAAATTTTATTGAATCAAATGAATATTCATTTACGACCGTGCAGAATAATCTTTCCAGAACGATAAATAAAATATCTTAAAATAGATGATACCAACGCAATGTAGTTTTATCGTTTTAACCTCACATTTTTATCTAGGTCCTGAGATTGACCATTTTATAGCATTATATATATCTTAATTTTTAATTTTGATGCCAATTGATATAATGTGAAGGATGTTACTATACAGTTTACAATATGTTGTCCATTTTGAATATATATATATATATATATATATATATATTGTGGTTTGTGAGAGAAAATAATTAATTTATCACAGCATACTGAGTCTGGGGATTAATTCAACAACTTTGATTTAAATCCCAAAACTCAATACAGCTTATCTCCTATCAATGTTGGAAGAATTGATTTATTACATAATAGTTGGTCTTCAAAAACCCTTAAAAGAAAATGTTGTCATTGCAGTATTCATTGAGCCAAGCGAATTGAAACTAGGCATGGGAATAAGTTAAAATATATTTCATCACAAATTTTCCTTTTTATTTGATAATCAATTCCCATTGCTGGGACAAAACAGACTTTTAACAAAGTAGAAAAATTTTAGGAGAAATTTGTTTAGTTATTGTTGTGCTGCGATATTTATATGTGTATTTCAAGTGGTCTAGAACGAAAAACAGGAGCAATTATTGGCAATTTTATCCAAGTAGAAACACAAGGATAGTGCTCAAGTAAACATTCAATAAATCTAATAAATAAATGTGTTGTATATTAAGTTAAAATTGATTTTATTTGATATAGATCGTCAATATTATATGTGAAAAACTCCACTGGTCAAGTAATGTAAAAACTGGATAAAGGAGCCGATACTAGGGGCGCAAAGTTGGTGTTTGTTGAAGATCTGGTAGGGGTGGGCAGAGCACTCGTCGGCACAACTAACTAACTACCTCAGGCTCTAGTTTTGACTCCTGGAAAAGGTTGAAGTTGTTGGGACTGCCGTACATGACCTTGATCAACACAATCAGCAATGTACGTACAGTCCAGCAGTCTCTACTACTGGAGTGACCACAGGCTCCATCGCGGGCATTGCGCTAGACTGTTAGGTAGCAGAAGAAACAGGTAGGATTTCTTAACAGCCTAGTTTTAAATTTAAAAGAAACACTTTTTTATTGTATATCCAAGCCATTTTACTTAGTGATATGCTTAGCTAAGTAACCAAAATAATTTAATAATTAGACTTCTCGAAAATATAAATTGACTATTTGAACGAATTGTTAATTTATTGAAACATTATTTATTTAGACAGGCAACAGTTTATTACACTTAACCTGTATATGCATATATAATATATTTTGACAATTTATAAAACATTATTTTTCTAAATACCGCACTTTATCTGTTTGGATACTTAGGGAAATGAATCTAATACCAACGAATCCGTACCAATATATTTTGTAAGTTAAATATAATTGATTTTGACTATTGAGGACAAACAGATTGATTTCTGTTATTACAAACACACTGCCTATAAGGTAGAGCCTCGTGCTAAGTGTACTTGGGGTAGCCATAGCATTATCTCCTTCCACCAGTAGCATATAAATGGAATTTTGTTGCTGCAAAATTAATAATTGAAAAAGTAAAAATCTTAATAAAAATAATTAAGTAATGTTATTTAAATAGGTTATTGGTTCTTTTTCAATCTGGACACATAGTTTAAAGTAACACTCTTTCAAGTTCAAAACTACTTTTAAAATGACGAGAGACAAAGCCAACAGAAATTTGTAAGTTGGCTTACTCTTAACTGCTGGATTAGGGTAATAAAGAGACATTTAGTCAAACAGTTTTTCAGAGTTCGCGGAGATTTGTGCATAAAACCTCCTCATTAGAATAATCCCCTCCGTTAGGTTCAGTGGAATATTAAAGCGTTTGCTTAGTTCTTTGGCGTCCGTGTGTATGATAAAATAAACCTTTTACACATGGCGGTCCGGGGGATTAAATTTCCCTTTGTACAAATATTGTTTGGTCGTGGTTTTTTATTGTTAATTTTTAAAGATGTTATAACAAAATGTTGTTTTTTCTGTTAATCAAAAAACGTCTGTGATAAACATATTTGAATCTCTAAAATATTATTATATGCAAAATATTATTAAACTCAGCCTATGTATGCATATGTGTAGCCTTCTGACACCTGGTAGAGATTTTAAAATAAAAAAAAAAAAACATTAATAAACATTGTTCAGTTGATTGTCAGTAGAATAGTATACATTTGAACTGCAAAGCTCCATGTTTACCTTTTATTAAACACCTCTTTTGTACAACGCTTAGCACTACGCGGCTACACGGTGCTACGACCTCGAGCCTGCCGTTCACACTTTGTTTCGGTCCAACGACAGTACTTTTTTGCGGTTTAGCAAATTCTTCTTAACGTTAACGTCTCCTTCTTGCTGAGCCAAACGTTTTGAAAATCATCCTACAAACTGTGTTCAACATATAACTCATGCCTATACAGA